TTTGGTCTTGAGCTAATTACTGGATCTTGCTATATTTTGCTCTCCAAGTCCTCATAAATGAAGGTAATAACTTCCAGGATTAAGAGGAGTAAATGTACATGCATGTAAATTACTTACATGCTTAGTATGTACATAATATGTATTAAGAATTCATTGGAAATTGGCTTTATTACTTTGGGTCATGAAAGGTAGCAGTAATGTCAGAACTCATCTAATTTCACAAAGGCTCAGCACCACCATCCAGAGCTGATCGCCATGAGATGCTCAGATAGGCCTACCATCTCCAACTTTTTTCCCTTTTTTCTTTTTTTCACACATTCTGATATGAGCTGTCTTCCCTGGGGCCTTCTTTGCTTCTCTGCTGGGTTAGATATGCAGTGACTCCATGAAACTTGTAAACCAAGCTTATGAGTACAGGATTTGCTAGGGAAGTCCCATGTTACATGTGAGAATCATAATCAACTTGTAGGTAATAGGATACAACTAGAACTCAGTTTTCCATTTAGGACAACTTCCAACCAAGAGGGCACTCAACTTGTCGATAGAGCGAGCCTGCCAGCAGGCTTTGCTCTGGACCTCTGCCTGGTTTGGGCAGGTTACAATTCTGCAGCTCCACTGACAGTGCTTGGGGACTCTTCACTTTCTAGCCATCTGTCAAAGGAACTTAGCTCCCTCTGTGGGTCTGCAAGCCCCATTGCAGCTTGCCGATCTGGTTTCCACCGTCTCATGCTTGTCACTCTTGGCTGTCTTTAGTGTTTGCATTTCTCTTTCCTGAACCTCAGTGCTGGGGTCCCAGTTCTAAAGAGAGTGTTGTTCTTCAGATTAATTTTTAAAAATATGTATTGTTTTCGGTGAAAATTTACATAGTAAATTTAGTTCTGCTCTAGGTTCTCCTTTACAGGGTAGTGAGGTTCCCTTCACTTTTGTGGAATTGATTCTTTTAAGTGTTGGAAAATGGAAAACAATGACCACTCCCCTCAGTAATCAGCCAATCCCTTCAGGGCCTTCGCACACCTCTCTTGCATAGTAGGCCAAGCAATCCCTTAGCAAGATTGCTGTTGAACAAATCATTTTAGAAAAAGTATTAACACGAGGCCAGAAAGACCATGTTTAAAGATAAACGTGTCCTGCAGCGTAGGAATTGGTACATAGATAATCGTGAGTTTTACTAGCAGTTCTATGTCAGGTTAATCTTAAAGCTCCACTTTGGTTGTTCCCTGCTTTAAAACTCAGCAGAAGGCAATGTAAGATTCTTGAAAAGTAGATAGACATCATGTTTCTTGAGTTAATTACCTTATCGGGTAACATAGACAAAAATCTCCTTTTCTCACTTGTCTTTGTCGTAGCCATTCCCTCTATCTAGAAATGTCTCCTCTCTCTTACTGCAGATGTTAGTGAACACAAGGGGTTCTTTTCCATAGTCTTAGTCACTCACCAGTATCCAAAGCACTTTATTGCAGATCTAGGAGAGCAGAGAGAATCCTCCCAAAGCCTGCCTCCTTATCGAAGGATGATTATTGGTTACTTAACATATTACTATAGCTAGGTCACAATTACATTCAAAAGAATATATGCAATCACTTGTAAACAGATGGCTTTAGGTACACTTTACAAATGGTTAAGAATAATACAGTTCAAAAAGATAAATGCTAGTTCAGGAAAGATACATTTCCTTTTCCAGTCAACAGACATCTTAAAGGTAGTTTGCACGACTGTAGAGAAGTTACAAAAAAAGTCTGGGAACTATGCAAGTTAATTAGTTCAACCAGTTTTACAGTCTGGGAACCCAGGATGTCAAGTTTTTAGAGCTGTACCCTGTGTTTGAATAATCCTGGAACTTAATACCACCCTTACACAGACATTACATTTTTCTTTCAAGGCCAAGTTTATACCAAAACCCCCACTTCTTTTATATTTACATCCATTAGCAAGTATTTTTTGAACACCCATGCTCTAGTTATTGAAGATGTAACTGAGTAAGACAAAGCTCCTGCCCTTACAGTTTCCATGTCAATGAGGCAATAAAATATACATAGTATATGTCAGATACTAAGAAGTACAACATCTTCCATTGAAGTACCAGCTCAAGGATCCAAGTCTTAACTAAAAATATTTGCATGTTCACTCTATCCTTTGTTATTGTTGTTAAGTGCCATCTAGTTGGAACCAACTGACCCTCTAGTGGGTTTTCAGAAACAGTAAATGGCATTGGAGAACACCCAGCTTTCTCCCTTAGAGCAGCTACCTGGTGGATTCCAACTGAGTGCATGCTAGGGGCAGTGCAGCTCTTTGCCACTGAGCCACCAGAGATCCCTGATGCTTAAATTGTTTTAATAGCTTCTTTTTTACATAGTTATTAAATTGCTGAACAGATTTGCCTTTCTAAGTTTACAAAGTTAGTATTTTTTATCTGTGCATAGTTCTTTTCTGAGAACTACAAAGGTTGAAAAGATAATGCTGACCTTTACTTTGAAACAGTTAAAAAGACTTCCTGGCCATTTATTTCAATGTTAGGCTCTCTGTTGAAATCTTGAGCATTAAAGTTGAGTCTGCTAATTACTGAACTTTTACTATCTGAAACATTGTTAGACTTGAGTCCCTGACAGATCATATATACTTAGTATTAGCTGTTTTTTATGGTGGCAGTACACGCGGGGGGACATGCCTAATCTCATAGAAACTGATGTTATGAAGATATTCGAACAAAGGCACCCTCCCTTTTTTGAAAAGAGCCATAAGTTTTATTAAATGTAGCAGATAATCTGTCCAGAAAGTACACAGTGCATTGGTGGTATTGTGTTGAGTGTAGCTGCCTTCCAGAAAGCCCACAGTGTCAATTTTAAGACACACTATTTCCAAGTTAAGTTTTTAAGTTACACCATTGCCATGACTCTGCTAGATCTTCAGTGCAGAATTCACTGGTTCTAGAAGGCCAGTCTTGTTTAGATGTGGCAGTACATTGCTCCTGATAGTCACATGTATTTTGTAAGCCGTTGATTTACCCTGACTATACTGAGAACTGTAGTGGCCTTGTGGGCAGTGAGTTCTGGTCAACTCATAAGAGTTTTGAATCCAACAGCTGCGTAGAGTAAAGATAGCCAATCTCCTTTTGGGACTTACAGCCCCTGAAACCTTGCTGGAGAGTCAGTTATGAGTTGGTTCTAGCTTGGCAGCACATATCAACATACTCTTAATTGCTGTTTAACCAGAAAAGAGGGTTCTTTAGTGTATTAGTGTCCATTCACCAAATCAAGGATTGATGTTTCCAGTGACTTTTCAACCTACTAGGCATTTTCCACTCCCCACTAGGTATTTTGGTCTGACTGCTTGTTCTTTCTTAAGCTGTACTAGAAAAGTATAAATACCTTTTACATATTCACTACAAAGATTCGGATCAGCTCCATCTTCTGTAACCACAATACTCACTGTAAGAATTAGAGAAAGCCCGACACAACTTTTCCTCTGCAGGGGCATATCTAGGTGTTTTCATTGGGCTTGGAGAAGAAATCTGCCAAAATAGGCTCAGGTGAAAGCTTTTTTTTAAGAAGTTTGGCTCTCACTCTACTTGTGGCTAAGACAAGGGTACCTTTTTCAGAAGTTTAAGCACTTTTTATAGCAAGAATTTTTCTAGCAGCTGAAGGAAGCTTTTGCCTCCTTTTTCAGAGCCACCTTGGCATGGGGTTGTTCACTGATGTTATTACCAGTGTCTTCAAGAGCTGTTCTTGGCTTCGGTCCGGGGATGGAGGCTGAAGTAGTGGCTGCAGGCATCTGCTATAATGACCTTTCCCTTATTTTCAGCATTAGTTTTCATATTCCTGGTGACTTGGAATGCCATGGCTTCCTGTTCACCAGGCAGTTTTGAAGGAAGCAGCAAACTAGGCAGCCTCAGACAAGCTGGGGACCAAAAACGACGGCAGCCATCCCTCCCTAGCATACCACCAAAGGCTTTCTTAAAAGTTACAATTTGATAATCAGAAAGTAGAATACAATTGAGACAAAGAATCCACAGAAGATTCAAACTTTGTCCAAAGAGATTTATTAAATATAACAAAATTCTATACTCTGTCCCAGGTTTGAGTCTGGAGAATAGCTAGTGTTCTGCTAGCCCTAAATACAGATGGGAAAGCAAGCTGTCAGAGGCCCATTCCAGTCCCAGTTTGCTCAGTAGGTGGTGACTGGAAGAGACTCTGCAACAATGGTTGGGGGGTGGAGGAGGGAGTTGGATATCTGTATACAAGGTAACCTGGACATGTTGCCTAAAAACATGATTTTTTTTCTTAACAATATTTTGATTGGTTAGTCCTAAAGAGTGCCAAAAAGCATCTCTCTAAAAGAAATGGAATAATATGTGTGAAAAGCTTTCAAGTGGTTGCTGAAGATGCAACAAACTATTGGTGTCTTCCCATCTGGAGCAAAGAAAAGGACTCAAGGGAACAAATAGTTCAAAGGGAAAATGGAACCCATGAACCAAAGGACTAAGAGGAGACCAGAACTAGGCTGGCTGTCATCCACTCTGGGAGCACAACAGAAGGGTCTACAGAGTGACTTACAGACTGTGCCCTAAAGTGCTCATCAAATTTAGACAAAAACAGCTAGAGGCCTAGAATGTGCACAGTAATACCCTGAGCAAACTGCTCCTCAGAACATTCAACCACGCTAGACTAAAATAGCATTTGCCTAACAGGAAAATCAGGAGGCAGGAGGGACAGGAAAGCTGGACAAATGAAGTAGGGAGCCTGGGATGAAAGTGGAGAGGGTACTGACACGCCGAGGGTACTGCAACCAGTGTCAGGGAGCAGTCTGCATATGGGAAATTAATGTGCTTTGGAAACTCTCATTTCACCTAAACCAGAATGGTTTTTGGGTATTTTTTAAATAAAAGAAAAATGCTCAATGAATATTACATGAATATCGTTAACTACTAGAACTTTTCTTTAAGATAATAAACACGATAGGTTCTGTCTTTATGCCAGGACACCCTGGAGACCTGACATGCAAGGTCAAGAGGACATTTTGTGCACAGCCACTGTGATGCCATCATGCTTCTGGATCATAATGTTCCTGAAAAGCAAAGCAGAAGATGCTCAGTAAAGCTTCCTAATGTTCTACTATAAACAATTTCCCCCCAACTTGCTCTGGATTAGATTCCAACGCATGGTGGCCCATGTGTGTCGAGTAGGGGTGTTCCTCACAGGGGTTTTATGGCTTGTTTTTAGATACAATTCCATCGAACTTTTATTCCAGTGTCTCTGGGTAAGATAGGAACCTCCAACCTTACAGTGGCAGCTGAACTTGTCGCTAGTTTCCACCAATCAAAAAGAATTATATACAGTTAAAATGTATTTATCATTTTTCAAAATTACAAATGCAATACTTGTTTATTAGTATGGTAAATAAAAAAACTAATTTCATAATCCTACCATACAGAAAGAATCACACACACACATATATGAGATACACTTACTCTTCACTTGGAACTCTGGTGGCCTAGTGGTAAGAATCTGCACTACAATCTCAAATGTTAATGGTTCAAATCCACCAGCTGCTCATGAGAGGATGGGTAGTCTCCTCCCATGAGATTAACTGCCTCTGAAAACCTGCTTAAGGGTCAGCTATGGATTGAAACTGACTTGGTACCCAACAACTCCTCCTCACTTAAGGACTATCTTGTTACAGTCATTTCACATTTATAAAAATAGTAAATCTACTTTCCCTTTTAATAAGGTGGTAGCAATGACAGTAACCCCTTCGGAGCAGCCCCTTCCTCACAGAGGGTCTTTGGGCAGCTTCTGGGAAGCAGCTGCAGTTATGTGACAATCAGCTGGAAGTGACTCATAAGCTGACTCTCCAGTGAGTCTTCAGAGGCTGTAAATCACATGAGACTGCCCATCACAGAGCAGCTGATGGATTCAAACTGTGTACCTTTAGGTTGGTAGTGCAGTTCCTTACCACTGGACCACCAGAGTTCCCTTCTAGGAAGCTAGGCAGTATCTGTTCTGGACTCCCATGCAGCCCTGCATCTATCTCAAAATCACACTGAGGTGGGAAAGGAGGAAGAGAGAGGCACCTGAAAGGGTGTCCGGGTGAAGTATTGACAAGCTTAATGATATCTTGAGAATGGCCCTAAAACTATCTCCTTGAGGCCTCGTGTGCCCTCACCTTCCTGTCTCCTATTGTAATCCAAGGGAAGAACCACCTCCCCCAAAGTACTTCAAGTCAATACTGAGGCCACTACCAGGGCTCTGAGTAAAGAATCTCTGATGAACACAGGGCACACCCTACCCTCTAGGTTTTTCTGAACAAAAAAGACACAAGAGAATCTACTGACGTCTACTCACCCATTATCTGATTCTAGACACACCACAGGAATATCAGTGGGGTCAGAGGTTAGTTTGGCAGCTTGCTGGGCTAGAACAGATATTACACCAGCATGTTCATCTGACAAAGTCCCACGGCCTGGAAGACAGAGGTGTCATGTCACTTGGTTGTTTAAAAAATGAGTCTGGAGCTAATGAAGTAACTCTCACAGATCTTTTTTTGGGGGAATAACATTCAGTTCACTCTCCCCTAGTTCATAAAAACAAAATGCTTCTGCCACAATACTCAACTGGTTGTATCAGTGCAAAAGCTACACAACAGTTTTTAAATCACTGAAGTGATGACAGATAAGGAATTTTCAAAGTTATTCCCATCATCATTTCTAAATACTTCTCAAAGATAACAAAGGAGTGGTGATTTAAATTGCTCTGAAAGTTTAAGATCATTTTTACAGGAAACTTATTATTTTTTTTTTTAGAACATAATTCACTTTATTTGTTATAGAAAATCCACTAGGTGGTGGCCACAGCTGGAGCCTGAGTCCTCTGCACGGAAACTCTGGTGTGAGTCTTTACAAGATGATCTGTGAATTCCTGGTAGGGAGACTTCGTGAACACCGTCTCTTTCCAGAGATCTGGGGTCAGATAGCTGTAGGTCTTTGAGATGGCATCAAAGGTGGCCTTAGCAAAGTTGCCCAGGGTAGCTGTGCAGCCCCTGGCTGAGGTGTAACAGTCATCAATTCCAGCCATCATCAACAGCTTCTTAAGCACAGGGGCCGAGACGATTCCAGTGCCTCGGGGTGCAGGGATCAGACGCACCAACACAGAGCCACAGCGCCCAGTCACCTTGCAGGGAAAGGTGTGAGGCTTGCCAATCTTGTTCCCCCAGTAGCCACGCCGCACAGGGACAATGGAGAGCTTGGCTAGAATGATGGCCCCACGGATAGCAGTAGCCACCTCCTTGGAGCACTTGACGCCCAAGCCAACATGGCCGTTATAGTCTCCGATGGCAACAAAGGCCTTGAATCTGGTCCGCTGGCCAGCACGTGTCTGCTTCTGCACTGGCATGATTTTCAACACCTCATCCTTGAAGGACATGCCCAGGAAGAAGTCGATGATCTCAGATTCCTTGATGGGCAGGGAGAAAAGATAAATCTCCTCCAATGATTTAATCTTCATATCTTTCACCAGACGGCCCACTTTGGTGACGGGGAGCCACTCCTTGTCCTCGGCTTTGCCTCCTCGAGCTCCGCGGCCCCTCCCACGGCCCCGTCCCCGACCCCGCAGACCGCTACCGAAGCCTCCGCGGAAACCGCCGCGGGCTCCCATCCCAGGGCCTCCAGGCCCTCCCGCTGCACCGGCGTCATCCACCATTTGGTGTTTTCTCAGAAAAAACAGGAAACTTATTGAAACCAACAAGAAATTCAGAGGTGAGACTGACAATAAGCAGTCAGGAAGGCTTGTTGAAACTATTTAATCAACTCCTCATGGGCAGTATGATTTCTTTTTATTGCGCTCAACCTCAAAGGATAGAAAAGGCTTTCCTCAGGAGTTCAGATATAAGACCACCTTGACAGTTTATGTGACTATTCTGTGAATTTAGGTAGAATAAAAATAAACTGACTAAAAAACAAAACAAAACCCCAACCCAAAACCCCGCAGCAAACTGGATGTTTTAAAATATCAATAGAACCGGCTCCTTAATAATGTATGTTTTAGCTTGTAGTTAATAACTAAATCTTGAGTTCTAGGAACAGAAAAGTAGTTACTATTTTATTTTAAAATATATTTCCATATACAGAGGAAACACAAGCTAAACTGAGTCTCTGAATTTACTGACCAGACACAGTACATACAGCCTTTTGGATCTTTTAAGATTTTTTTGAAAGAACTCATTTAGTTTTAGATTTCCACATTAGAATTTCAGCCTTTTTGTTAGCTTAACAAGTTTTCAAAAAATTTTGCCTTTTTCTCCTCAAATGACTGATCAGTATGTGAAAATATTCAAATTCATAGATTAATCCTTTCAGTTATATGTACAGCAAATATTCAGAGTTTAAACATTCTTGCATAACCAGAAATAAATCCACCTATGGAGAGTTGATCTTTTTGACAATGAGATGAAATTCATTAAGTGGAGAGCTTCTTTAATGAGTGATGACTGGCAAAACTGGTTATCTATTTGTAGAAAAATGAAACAAAATCCATACCTCACACCATATTAAAAAACTTAATTCAAGATGGATCAAGAATTTAGGTGTAAACCTGAAACTATAAAGATCAAAGAGAACTGAGGCAAACTTAGGACCCTTAGTCTATAGCATACATAGACTGTCAAAAATAACTGAAAAGGCAGAATCAGCAGAGAATAAACTAGATGATTGGGACCTCCAAAATATCAAATCCTTAGGAGCATCAAGACTCTTCCAAAAGAGCAAAAAGGGAACCTACTCATGGAAAATATTTGGCAATACATATTCAACAAAAGACTTCTCTCTAAATAGAAAACTAGTATTTCAACAGGGAAAGACAACCCAAATACAAAATGCAAAGAGTTTGAAAAGATACTTCATCAGAGAAGACAATCAGGTGATGCACATCAAAACATGAAGGTATCAATTCACCTTGACAATAATAACAATATTTAATAAGACAGCAAACAATAAATGCTGGTGACGGTATGGAACTCACTCACACTGTTGGTGGGAATGTAAAATGGTGTGACCACTAATGGAAAGGAGTTTGTTTTTTCCTTAAAAAGTTGGGACTAGGAATACCATTTGACCCAGCAATCTCACCATTAGGTATGTATCCCAAAGAAATTAGAATGGGAATATAAACTTACATACACCCATGTTTATTGTAGCATTAATCACAACAGCCAAAAAATTGAAAATAGTGTCAGTCAACAGATGAATGACTAAAGAAACAATGGTATGTTCACACAATAGAGTATTATGCACCACTAAAAAATGTTAACAAATTCATGAAACACTGCACAAAGGGGATGAATTTAGAACAGATTTTTCTGAGTGACTTTTGTCTATCACAAAAGGGCACTTAAGGTATAAGACCACTGTTACAAAAAGCTAAGGAATGCTTTACACACAGACTCATTCTTGGACAGTTACCAGGGATAGGAAGAAAGGAGTAAAAATTACTAAATAGATGTGTTTGGGTGAAGGAAAATGCAATATAAAATAAAGGGTTAATTAGACATTAATTAATCACTAGTAATTAATGTTATACATTCACTGTACTAACAAGAACTGACTAGCACTGAAAAATCCAAGAAGTACTATATGAGGAGAAGCCAATGGTAATGAAGGAGAAAGTAGAAGCTGCACTGAAGGCATTGGCAAAAAATAAGGCCCCAGGAATCGATGGGATACGAACTGACTTGTTTCAGTCAACAAATGCAGCCGTGGATGTGCTCACCAGTCTATGCCAGGAAATCTGGAGGACAGCTGTCTGGCCAATGGATTGAAAGTAGTACATACTTGTAGGTGGTTTGATCCACCAGTGTTCTGTAGGAGAAAGCTGGAAAACATTTCCTGTGTGATTTGCTGCCTCTGGAAATTTGCTGGAGAGTCAGCTATAGGCCAGTTCCGACTCGATGGCACACAACAACAAAAACAACTGAAGAGCAATAGGTCAAAATCAGGTGTGTTTGACTACAAAGCCTGTTTTTCGAGCACTGGATTTTGCTGCCCATTCACTTGTTGTTAAGCATCCAAAATCAAACCCATCCCACTGTGTTGAGTCAGTTCCAACTCATGGCAGCCCTGTGGATTAAAGCAGCGATGCACCAAGGGTTTCTGAGGCTGTAAATATTTATGGGGCAGACTGCTTAATCTGGCTCCTGAGAACTAGAAGTAGGTAAAAAATAATGACATTTGGGTTAGCAGCCAAGCGTTTAACCTGCTATAACACCAGGATTCCTGTTTATCAAGCACAATTTAATAGTTAAGAAACTTAGGGAAGATTTGTCTGGTGGTGTACAGCATTTATAGGGATTTGTGTTGCTAACCCCAAAGCCATGCCTCTACAGCAGTTTGAATCCACCAGTAGCTCCTTGAGACAAACATGAGCAGTCTTCTTTCAGCCTTAAAAACTCACTGGAAGGCTGCTATGAATTGCTTCCAATTCAATAGCCGTGAGTAGCAGGAGTATCTTACAAGGTTATTGTGAAAATAAAAAATAACATATGTAGCAACCATGATGGAAGACAGTATGGTGCTTTCTCAAAAAAGTTGGAAATAGAAATACCATTTGACCTAGCAATTTCACTACTAGAAATATACCCTAAATAAAGCAGAACTGCCACCCACAGATCTGTGCACACCCATGTTTATTGCTGTGTTGTTCACAATAGCAAAGAGATGGAAGTAAACAAAGTGCCCATCATCAAATGAATGGATAGAGAAGCCGTGGTATAGTCACATGATGGAATACTATGCAGCACTGAAAAACAAGGAACTCATACAAGATGGATGACCCTGGAGGACATTATGCTGAGTGAAATATCTCTGTCACAAAAGGACAAAAACTGCATAATGCCACTGTTATAAAACAGTGACATGTGGGTATAAAACTGACATGTGGGTTGGGGGAAAACTAAGAAAAGGGGATAAATAATGAACACTTCATTGAAAGAGATGAGGGAAAGAACAGTTTAAAAGGAATATATGCTTAGGTATTATTTGCATGACAACAGTCCAGAATAAGAGGTGCACAGAAAAGGGCTGGGGGCCCAGGGAAGGGAGGGAATTGTACAACAATGAAATAATTTTTTTTAAAAGAGAAAAGCAAATGGGGGTGAAGTAGGGAGGAAAATGTGCAACAATGAATGAATGGCAATCCAAGTTTCTGTATGCTTCTGTTAAAATCACAATTAAAAAAAATAATGTATATAAAGTCTAACACAGTCCAGACGTGTGGTATACATTAACTAAGTGGTAACTACTCTGGTGGCTTAGTGGTAAGGAACTGTGCTGCCAATGCATAGGTACATGGTTTGAATCCACCAATTGCTTTGCAGGAGAAAGATGGGCAATCTCTGTGTGATTAACTACTGTAAGGTCAGCTATGTGTCAGTTCTGACTTGATGGTATAGAAGAAAAACAGCTATCATTATTTGGGTTCCTTCTGGCTCCAAGTTAAATAACAAGTGCAAAGGAACATTTCTACCTTCCCAGATATTAATGGGAAAAAAATCTAGCTTTTTAATCTTGATATTAGGAGGTAATCTGTCCTCTCACAAAAGTATTCAGAAAGCGTGCAGGAAATAACACCTAGACAGTAACAGTACACTAGGCTCCAAGTCACATGCTTTGCAATTCAATGTAGGGTTGATGTGAGATACTTACAGCCCAGATTAAGTCCTTGTGAATCTGTACACAGGACTCCAACAATGGATGGATTCTTCATTCTAGTTCCAGAATCACAGAAGGAGAAATAAGAATTTAATGAATTATTTTAACACACCTAGACTACATGTGTGCCTGGCAGGGAGCTCTGGGGCAGTGTGGTTAAGGCATTCGGCTGCCTTTTAAAAGTTCAAACCCACAGCTGCTCTGTGGGAGAAAGGAGAAGCAATCTGCTTCCATAAAGATTTCCCTGGACACTCTTGGGGCAGTTGTATAACTTTTACTCCATTCTGGAGGGTTAAGAGTAGTTGGAATAAACTGGATGACAATGAGTTTGGTCTGGTTTATGTGCCAGGCACTATTGAAAGTGTATTAAATAGGTGTTTCTCAACTTAAATCCTCCCTTGCATCATTCCAGCTCAAGGAAAAAAATGTAATTATGGGGCACTTGGTGGTTCAATGGTGAAATTATAATCTTCCATGCAGGAGAACTGGGTTTGATTTCCAGTTAATGCACCTGGTATGCATTCCACCAGGTGTCTGTTAGCTGAGACTTTCATGTTACTATGATGCTAACCAGGGAATCTCTGAAGGCCTAGTGCTCAGAACCTGTGGTTCGAATCCTCCAGCTGCTCAGCTGGAGCAGGATGGAAAGTCATGTGTCATGTGACTAACTGCCTCTGAAACCCCACCCAAGGGTCAGCTATAAGTTTTTTCTGACTCGAGTTGTCATTGTTATGTGCCATCGAGTCGCTCGCAGCCATGGTACATTCAATACTCTTCTCCAGCACCACAGCTCAAAGGCATCAATTCTCCTTCTATCCTCCCTAGTCATTGTCCAACTCTCTGATGCATAACAAGTGATTGCGAAGACCATGGCCTGTGTCAGGCGCACCTTAGTCTCCAGAGAGACACCACTGCTCTTCAGTACCCTGGAGTGGTCCCTAACAGCCGACTTTCCCATCGCAATATGCTTTTTGAATGCATGCTTTAAGATATTATTTAAAACAACCGTTGAACGCCTCTGAAGCTTTAACAGTTTAAGTAATTGTTAAATAATATGAGTTGCCTCCTGGAGAGGATATAAGAAGTTGAGAAAAATTGGTGGATGGAAGGTGTTTATAAAGTTTGGTACACTTTTCCAGTTTAAGTACACACACAAACACTCCCAACAATTCACCCCGACTTAAACTGATCCACATGTGTCCGAGGAGATCTGCTCCGAAGGTTTTTAATGGCTGACTTTTTAAAACTAGGTCACCCACCTTTTCTTACTAGGTAGACTCCTAATCTGTTTGTAAGCAGCCCCATGCCCTAACTGTTGAATTACTCAAAGACTTTTAATCTCACACAGGCATTACCTATTCGAAAAAACAACAACAAACAAAAAAACCAAACAAACCAGCCTAAGCAGCAAGCTAGTAGTTAGGAATCACTGGTAAACACTTATGTTTACCTCTTTATATTTCATATTTACCTCTGTATATTTCAGAGATTTGACCACCTTGTATAGTCTTTGCCAAAGTGAAACCTATTTCTTAAAAATCCTGGAAGAACAACCCTGGCCATGGCATAAAATCACTAGTGATTTCGGCCTCGGATTTGAACCCTGGAGATTAGTTCTGATGAAGACAGCGAGATGAAGTTCCGGGTTACCGGCCCCGCCCTTCGCTGTGGCGACAGTCTGGGTCGCTTCCCCGAGACACGGAAGAGCACGCATAGCTCAGGTCCTCTGTTTACTATAACCACCCTCACCCGACTTCAACACAGGCAGAAAAGCTCCGACAACTTACGTGTCTTCCAAGTGCTGCTCCAAGGTCGTCTCCATCCCACCCGCTGTCAGTTCTGCCCTCGGATCTGCAGCACAAAGGTTGTCGTTCCGCTACAGGCTTCGGGAACCTCCCGGTCACATGACACAAACCAGGCCAAGCGCGGAATTGGACGGTGCCTCCAAAGGGACAAAATTTATTACAGCGCAACACTTGCGCTTTCTCAACCTGAAGACTATATTTATTGGAATTTCCCTGAATGATGATAAGCGTAGTGACCCGAGTGGCGTATTTCACCATCCGCGAGATAAGTCACTCCCTTGACCTGCCACTTTGTTTAGTTGTTTTTAACTTTTGGATTATTGTTGGGGTTGTGTCCTGTCCAGTTGGAACCGACCAATAGCTGCCCCTCTAGCGGGCTTTCAGAGGCAGTTAATCACACTGAAAGAGACTACCCATCCTTCTCCCGCAGAGCGGCTAGTGGCCTTGAACTGAGTGCCTTCGGGATTGCAGCACAGCTTCTTGCCGCTTCGGTTCAACGAACTACACCCACTAGGAGCTCGATCTGGGTCCACTCTTAACATAGCCTAACCGGTCAGTCTGCAGCCTGGGCCTGATCTAGGAAGTGGGACTGGAACGAAGAGGAGGCACAGGACCACTGTGAAAAGGATTTACGGGCGTGTGGGGGAAAGACATGCACCCAAAGGACTAAAGGAGGAGATGTTGTTATGTCTCATCGAGTCGGAACCGACCCAATAACTGACCCTCCCAGCGGATTTTCAGAGGCAGTAAATCCCATGGGAGGAGGTGAGATGGAACCTGGTTAAAACTCCAAGTTGGGCACTCCTAAATGTCTAAGTTTTAATGAAAACGGTGGCTGTTTTGAGGGGAAGGCTCCGGAAAGCTGAGGAACAAAGTGCTATGTGAATCCTAACTCGTAAAGGCAACTCATGATGTTGTTATGCGCAGTCAAGATGGACCCATCATGGGTAGCCATAGCTGACCCTCTAGCAGGCTGTAAATCAAGGGAGGAAATTGCCCATCTTTCTTCCACTGGTGGATTTGAACCATCTGCCTTTGGGTTGGCAGCGCAGTTTCTTACCTGTGGGATACCAGAGCTCCTAGGAAGGGCTGTTGTTGTTGTTAAGCGCCATCAAGTCGTAGGCGACTCATAGCGACCCTATGAACAAAGACCTCAACACTTGTGTGACTTTCATCCTCTCTCCAGGTTCATAGGGTTTCCAGAGCCAAGCTATTAAGGAAGTGGATGACACTCCTGCTTCCAACTAGGAAGGGGGTTCATAGGGTTTCCAGAGCCAAGCTATTAGGGAAGTGGATGCCACTCCTGCTTCCAACTAGAAAGGACTAGGTAATACTATTTTTGAAATATTTAATTGTAAACTAAAAAACCCAAGACAACCAGAATAATTCACTCACGGCCGTCGAGTCATAGAGGATACTCTTCGGGGATGTGAAACACACAGGAAGAGCCTGCACAGATTTTTCCTGCAGAGTGGCTAGTAGATTCGAACCACCGGGAGGTGAGCAACGTAACGCCTTACGGACTAGGTCACTATCACCTTTTTAAATTATTAACGGGGTTGTAAAAAAAATTTTACAAAGCTGTTGTAAAACAAATAATAATAAAGCAAGGCAATCACCCAGATAAATTATTTTTTAAAGCAAAGTTGACTCTTCTCCCTGAATTTAGCGTAAATGCTTATTTTTCCTTCCCCCCTAAATGCTTTTAATGAAGACTATATTCATTTCATCATGCTTGGGAGGGTGGAGGGACAGCGCAGGAGAGGAAGGCCCTCTATGAGGTGGATTGATTCAGTGACTGGGGTAATTGGGACGGGAGTGTCGGAGACAATGCGATTGGCACAGGACAGAGAGAGTTTAGGGCTGTTGTACATAAGGTCGCTATGAGTCGCAGGCGACTCGACGGCACATAACAACAACATATTTATGTTCTTTCTAATAGTTGTCAAATATGTTGTGTGTCTTGACTATGGTAAAGTGGCTAAACCTGCTCAATTCGTACCCAGAGAAGCGTCTTACTGCAGTTCCGTCCCCTTGTGGTCCCATGTTTTGTGACCAGGGCTAGTGCTTTCCAGCTTTCAAACGTTAAGGCAGCACAGTGCAACAGAAAGAAAACGTGAGCCTCATGTGTCATGCTAAACGTTCTGGCAGCCACAGTAAAGAAAGGAAAATAAATAAAATAAGTTTGTTGTTGTTGTTGTTGTTAGGTGCCATCGAGCAAGACTACAGCGACCCTATGAACAAAAGATCTGAACCTTGTTGTTTCTTGTGCCATCCTCACACTTCCTGACACACAAGAGCCCATTGCAGCAGTCACCGTATCAACCCACCTGGCTGAGGATCTTCATCTCCCTCGTCAACCCTCCTCCCTTCCCAGCATCATGGCCCTCTCCAAGGAAAAGCCCCTCAGAGCAGTATGTCCAAAGTATGTGAGGTGAAGCCTCATCATTCTTGCCTCCAAAGAGCACTTGGGATGCACCCTCTCCGAAACATAACTATTCCTTCTCTTGGCCGTCTATGGGACTCAAAGGCGTCAATTCTTTTTCTGTCATCCTTATTCATTGCCTAGGTCTCAGATGCATAGCTAGTAATCGAAAAGACAATGGCCTGAATCAGATGTGCCTTAGTACTCAAACTGACATCACTACTCTTCAATAATTTGGAAAGGTTCCTAATACAGATTTTCCCAGTGCAGTGATTCTCTTTATTTCCTGACTGCTGGTACCAACGGTGTTAACTGTGGATGCAAGCAAGATGAAGCTGTTGACAGTTTCAATCTCCTCTCCATCCATCATGATTCTGTGTATTGTTCCAGTGGTAAGAATCTTTGTTTTCCTGACATTGAGATGCAGTTCACACTGAAGGCTGCGTTCCTTGATCTGCTGCACCAAGTGCTTCAGATCCTCTTCACTTTCAGCAAACAAGGTTGTGTCATCTGTATAATGGAGGTTATTGATGAATCTCCCTCCAATCCTGATGTCACACTCCTCCTCATAGTCAAGCTTCTTGGATAATTTGCTCAGCATACAAATTGAATAGGTATATTCAATTGAATAGGAGAGAGAATACAACACTGGTGCATGCACTCCCTTCCCAATTCCAAATCCTGCAGTTTTCCCCTGCTCTGTTTGCACAACAGCCTCCTGGTCCAGGTTTAAAATAAGTTTAATAATATATTTACTTAATACAGCCAGAATATGATCACTTCAACTTGAAAGTGATAAAAAGATGAATATTTTTCATTATTATACTTCATAAGTCCTAATTGTGTTTTATGCTTAGAGCACATCTTAACTTGAACTAGCTGCATTTCAGGTGCCCAGTAGCAATAGGTAAGTTCTTAGCTACCACACTGACCAGTATCTTCTCAGTGTATCTCTGACAGTCTCAAAGACAGATTCATAATTAAAAGATTACCAGAATGGCTGGTGATTCCTTTAAAGCTGTAAGGAATAAATGAAAGATAGTATAAAACACAATGTGTATGAATGAAACATAATGTAAATAAGTGATTATATGAAAGCAAATAAAAAATTCTAAAAAATAAAGAATAGAACTTTGCGAGTAAAACGGAAGCTCGCCATCCATTCTTACCATGCTGGAAGGGGAGAGCAAGATTCCACATATCCCTTTTTCTGCCCTGCTACTGTTTGTTCCTGTTAAGATAGACAGAGGAACTAGAACAGAAGTAAGCAGAAGAGATATGAGTGGGGGTTGCAGTGATAATCGGAGAAGCCACACCTCTAATTGTCTCCTACTTGTTTTTGTTTGGGATTTTTTTTTAAGCTTGTGGAATATATGATGATTCTTTAATCTCAGGGTGGCTTTGATAAGCAAACAGAAAATAACAAATGTTGGCAATCATGTAGGGAAATAGGAATCCCAACCACTATGAAAAACAATGTGGCAGTTCCTCAGAAAACTGAAAGCAGGACTACCGCGAGACCTAACAAGTCCAGTCCTAGGTATATAGCCCAAAGATTTTGAAAGCTGAACCTCAAACAGAGCTATATACAGCTGACTGGAAGAGATCTATATTAATGCTCACTCCAGAGAAGGATAATTTCACAGAATGTGGAAATTATTGAACAATATAATTAATGCCACATGTAAGAAAAATCTTGTTGAATGCTCTTTATAAATAACTGGAGCAGTGCATCAATAAGGAATGGTCAGAAATTTAGACTTGACTCAAAGAAGATTTGGAATGAGAAATATCATTATGGACATCAAATGGATTTTACTGAAAATATAAAATACCCAGAAAGATATTTATATTTTATTACTATGAAAAGGGATTGGACTGAGCAGATTTTAAAAAATTATATATGACATTTTGAAGAATAGGAATTCCAGAACATTTCATTGTGAATAAACCATAGATATTGTGTGGTGAGGAGGACCTGAAGCACTTGCTGCAGAAGGTCAAAGATTGCAACCTTCAATATGGATTGAAGCTTATCATCAAGAAAACAAAGATTCTCATCACTTGTTTGACTGGCAAAATGATAGATGGTGGAGATTGAAATTGTTAACAGGTTCTGTTTTCTTGGCTCCACAATCAACATTTTTGGTTCCAGTAGCCAGGAAATCCAAAGACGAATTGCACTGGGAAGGTCAGCTGTCAGGGACCTCTCCAGAGTGCTGAAGAACAATGATGTCAGTCTGGAGACTAAGACCATGGTCTTCATAATTATGTGCTATGCATCAGAGAGGTGAACAATGACTCGGGATGATACAAGGAGAATTGATGACTTTGAGCTGTGGTGCTGGAGATGAGTATTGAATATATACCATGGACTGCTAGGAGAACAAGCAAGTTTGTCCTAAAGAGGGTGAAACCAGACTGCTCCTTAGAGGCAAGGATCCAGAACATACTTTGGGCATGTTGCAAAGAGGGACCAGTCCTTGGAGAGGGACATTATGCTTGGGAGAGAAGGGACAGTGCAAGAGAGGAAGACCCTTGATGACATGGATTGGCTCAGTGACTGGGGTAATGGGGGTGGTTGTGTCAGAGACAATA